AGCTGAGTCAAAAAAAATTCCCCGTTCAAGGTTTAAATAAACGCTGGAATGTTTGACATGAGGGACAAAGATGAACTGGCAAAAGGAAGTTGAAATAAATACATAATCAAACAGAGGAGGACAATGAGAGACAGCTGGAGGACATCATGGTGCAGCAGATGCTGACTGAAGCAGAGAATCTCAGGAGGTAAAGTTGTAGCAACAGCAAGTCAGAGTTAAAGCTGTAAAATATTTAACCAGCAGAGCTGCTCCTGACAAAGCTCAGTCAAACTGAACAGAAAGAATTTGTAAATATAAACTCTTTAACCATTTGGACACATTCAGAGTGGTATTTAGAGGCTGCATCTCGGCTTCAAATTTCACTGTTGCAGGTCTCCCCCCTGACTCTAACGCAAACAATTTATAATCAGAGACTGGTTCACAAAGAATGTTGTGCGTGCCTATAATAAAATAACTGAGGGCTCATGAGCGTCGATTCGGAGATGTCTAAAAGGATGGACTCGTACAAAGTGAACTCTGTCGTTTTCGTCTACCATAGCCAGGATAAAATCATAAGTGCCTCACATATTTTATGTTTCGTACATATGTTTTATATATATAATATTTTTTCATTAATATAATAGGTTCATGTTTTGTTAAATCTCTTACATAAGTAAGCTATTAAAAATTTGCTGCAGCCCCTTAGCTTTCCCTCTAATTTCTGCTTCAGCTTTGTTCTCTCTGAAATGCGGATTTGTCATGGCGGTGGCGGTGGAGCTAATGAGCTGTTGTTATATAGCTTCTTCTCATCTGTCCGTGTTTGGCTGTGACAGCATCCTGGAGAGAAATTAGCTGCTTCCATAACAGCTTTGGTTATAAATGATAGCATGTTTTTTAGTGTTTAGTCCTGTTTCTCTCCTGGAGATAGCCATTAACCCAGCTTTCTCTTTTTGACAAACTGTAAGTACTCTCTTTGTGACTTTCCCCAGAGCTGTTTTAGTGCTATGATGAGCTCTTAAACCAGACTAAAACTCTTCAAAAAGTGTAAGTTGTTGCACACTTGTTTGGCATCTACTTGCTCAAGAATTTTAGATAAGAAATGAAGATTGGATATAGGTCTATAATTGACCAATTAATCTGGGTCAATAGATGTTTTTTTTTTTTTTATTACAGCTAACTTAAAAACCTTTGGTACATATCCCTGTAACAGGGATAAATGAATCACATCTTAAATTGAGGAGGAGGTCAAAGTGAATACTTCCTGTTTTACCCCAATATTCATTTATACATTCAGAAACCACAAGGTATTAACTTTAAAATAATGTATTGCACATGTAATTTGGGCTTACAGTTCATAAGTTATTTGCTTTTCTATTTGGGTATGCAAAATAGGTGAGAAATTCTTCATAACAGGAGGTTAAATAACCTGGTTGGAACTGGATCTAACATACAAGTTGAAGGTTTAGATGAAGACAGTAGTTTTGCTAACTCTGAAAGATCAACTGGATCAAAGCAGTCTAAACCTGGTTCAGATTCTATAGTTACCTCAGATGCTGCCTCATAATAAACCAATCATAGTTAAAAGGCAGAGATGGGAAGTAACGAAGTACAAATACTTCGTTACTGTACTCAAGTAGATTTTTCTGATATTTTTACTTTACTTTACTACTTATTTTTATGGCGACGTTTTACTTCTACTCCTTACATTTTTACACAAATATCTGTACTTTCTTACTCCTTACATTTTAATAATTTGTCTCGTTACTTTAGTTTTGAATCATTTCAATGGAGTTACCGTTATTATTTTTCACGTCATCAATACCAAATTCAATCTAATTGGATGGGAATCTACGTTGCATTTGACGCACCACTACAAGATGAATCGACAGATTCGGCGGTATTCATTTGCGGCAAATCATTGCGGCTTGGTGGCGGTGGCGTTAGCATAGTAGTATGGACGACGAGATGATTGAAAATGAACACAACGGAGATCTAGTCCTATTGGCAGACATCCATTTAAAATGTAGGGAACGGCATGAAAAAAGTGGTTTCTACTTTTACTTTTATACTTTAAGTAAATTTACAAGCCTGTACTTTGTTACTTTTACTTGAGTAAAGAAGTTTAATCAGTACTTCCACTTTTACCAGAGTATTTTTTAACACAAGTATCTGTACTATACTTTATTCTTCAAAGCATGACTCAATTCTATGAGCCAAAATTCTTTATTGGGGTATTTCACCAACGATGCCACCTTTGACTTCACAATAATACATGGTTACATACATATCATACATATCCCAATCTCTTTTTGTATTCACATTTGTGATTTATTGGGTGTTAGTTACCATGGAGACTCCTTTACACATGATAAAATCGACCTCTTTTGATACCGTCAGGAGCATTTAACAGATGAGTAGTGGGCAGTCATCAGCGAAACTGGAGACAAGCATTGGAAAAGAAAAAAAAATCCCACATAGTTGAGAAATCCTTAGGATGTGTTCGCTGTCAGTGTGTTTGGAGGGATTTCGCAGAAGTCTTGGCTGTTCCCTCCTTCAGTTTGGCGTGTTTGGCTGGGTGAGAATGATGCCATTTGGTCTGTTGTGATTCATGGGTGCTGAAAATGTGACTGTCCGTCTGGAAGAAGCTGCAGCGGGTTTTGTGATGAGTGGGATTGGGAATGCGATCCCAACGAGAAGAGATGCAAACCAAATCAGAGCCACTTTTGTAGTTTTCAGCATCTCTAACCCTGTATGCTTTCTAAAACTCAGTCCTGGCAGCTGAAACTCATATTTACCGGATACTCAGGAGGCAAACTAAAAATGTGTCGTCAGTAGTAGGAGGCCAGGGTCCCCTATGTCCTTTCTCATGTCAATATTGTCACCTTCATGCATGCAACCACCACCACAGCTAAAGCTAAGGGCTGGGGCAAAGATACAACACAATTTGGTCTTTCTAAAAAGTAGCTGTATTTTGATTTGGTTTCTTTTTGGCTGAAGCAAAGTGGATTTGGAGAGGCGGATGAGGAAGGACGTGGCAGCGGGGGAGGGAGGGAGGGAGGGCTGTTTGAGACTGGGAGACGGGGAGTGGAGGCGGAAAGAGTAGCTGTGGCTGTGGTTGGAAGACGACACTCTTAAAGCTTCGACAGGATTCAGGTGTAAATAAATCACCCCACGCCTGCATAATATGTCAGAGGAACGGATGTGGAGCTTGAATTGGAAGGTCTTACAGATAAGAGCTGCACAGGACTGAATATATGAACGGTTCAGCACTTATATTACATGAATGTGTTGTCAGGCTGCTGGAAAATAGGTTTTCCCAGAGGGCACACTGGCTGTATTGAAGGTGTGTTGATGTTACTGTCCTTCCCTAAGAGAATACCTTAACCGCATTCATTTAACCGTGAAAACATTATCACACAGCAAACGGCATTTCATGCATTGCTGGAGAAACTTATCATGATTGAAGTGCATCACCAATATTGAAGATCACCCATAGCAACACCAGGACTGAAGATGACACCCGCTTCACACCTGCATTTAATTTTCAGCTGAGTAAAAAGACATGAAAATATAGAAGAATAATGTTAAGGAATCAGCTTCTTATGAATTTTGCATCATATCGAAATCTTTAACGCAAGAATTCATTGCATGACCTGGAGAGCTTGCTAACTTTCAAAGCCACATAAACTTGCTGTTGCTGAAGAACTGACACAACTGTGAGTCAAACATCGCAAAGCCTGAATAAAGCAGCTAACTATCCTGATGAAGTCTGTACTAAAGACTGCTCACTAACCTCTGCATGCTGGATGCTTGAACCTGCTGATTTAACCTAATTTATCATTAATTCAGGGAGTATTCATTTGGCCACTTGAAGGCACTTAAAATGCCTCCCATTGCCAGACAGCCAGTTGCTCCTTAATACAAACCAGCCAGTTTTATTATTAACAAAAGTCTGTAGCATAACAGCTCATCCTAACGCAACAGAACACAGTTTAATGTGAATCATGATCCGAAAGGGAACTGTTTGAAGAAAATGTCTCAGGAATTATAAACATTTCAAAGTCTTACAAGAAAAAAAGTCTTAGTAGTTCCAGCGGTGTATAAGTACCTGTAGAGAATAGGGATGGAACGGTTTATGAAAACCGTCCGAACCGTTCGGTTCGCGTGTGTTGCGTTCAGTTCATGCGCTGCTCCTTTTTCTCATAGGCGAAGCGTTTACACTCCAGAGCAGAAGGTGGCGGTACAGCGACCAAAGCCAACCACCAGTAGTAAACAAGAAGAAGAAGCGAAGCAGCATAGCCGTAGCCTCGTGAGACCATCCTGATCTCGCGAGCTTTCAAGATTTCGCTCGCTAGTCAGTCTGGAGACTCTGTTGAAGAAAATTTGGAGCCGTTCACCAAACGAACGTCCAATCAGCGTTGGCTTTGAGGCGGGTTGAGGTGTGACGCAACGAGAAGCGTGACACTTCAGTCTAAAGAACATGGTGGCTTCAACCGATGAAACTAGCGTTAGCATGGCTATTGAGCAAGTTTTATCGGAATTACAGAGTATTTCTTCACTGAAAGAAGAGCAAAACACTGCTCTGGAGGCTTTTCTCAGAGGAAAAGATGTTTTTGCTCTTCTCCCGACTGGTTTCGGCAAGAGTAGCCTGGCTGTTAGTACGCCATATGCTTCGTTGATCTGATTGGTTTATTTGGCCCGTCCATCACCAACATAGGCCAATCAGCTAACCAGTATTTTCGCCCCTTCCCAAAATTACTTCCACCGAAGGTTTCCAGATGGATATGCGGAGCAAATCCATCTGGCGGAGTCAGGTTAATGTAGCCGGGTGTAGCAGAAAAAAATCTGTTGTTGTGGAGAATTGTGTGGGTATGGCGAGTGGGAAAGAACAGGAGTTGGAAGACGCGCCAGCAGCACTTTATAGGTCTGCTGTATGGGACCACTTTGCATTTAGAGTGACCTACGATGACGGCGGAAAGAAAGTTGTGGATAAAAACAGTGTGCAAGCATTGTGCAACACGTTTTGTTTATGCTAACAGCAACACGACCAACATGTCAGGCTAACAATCAACATATACCGAACCGAACCGAAAACCGTGACCACGAAACCGTGAACCGAACCGTGGATTTTGTGAACCGTTCCACCCCTAGTAGAGAATAGCTGTGCTGCAGTGCTAACAATAGTTTATGTTTGAAAAGGAAAAAACATGCAGAAAATCTGTTCCATCGGGCATTGTTTTCAGCTACTGCTAAGAACAGCGTGCTGGTATTTCATCTTACGCAGACGATGTTCGCCTTATGTTGCTTAGGATGATTAGCTGTGTTATCTGCACCAAACAGGGTCAGCTTACTGCCTTAATGTGACAGTTTTGTATTGTTACAGAAACTATTTAGGAACCAATGTATGTTAGCACATATTAAAGGCTGATTTGGAGCTTTGCGGGAATTTAAGAAATTCAAAGAAGGGTAAATAGTGGCTGTCTTAGACAGGACGACATCATGTAGATCTGTAAACAGTAGGGAAACGAGGTTAGCGCCTAATCAGAGGAGTCCATGAGGACAAGGACTGAATTTGGCTTTGAAATCACCATGGCAATGTGGACCTCCATGGCGTGGAGCACGGAAAAGAATGTGGGAGGAAGTTTGATGTTAAAGGGGAAGGAATTTGCTTTTTACTCTTAGTTTTGGGCGACTCATTTCAGAGCGCTTGGGTAAAAAAAACTGCATGCTCACACTGACTCAAACACACACACACACAACAACAGTTGCATCACAGATAATACCAGTTATATAACAAGACCTCGTCGACACTGTGCTGATTACTACAAGCTCACATCAGTGTCCTCCACCCCAAATAAATACACATAGAAATGCAAGTTCCCTGATGGCAAAAAAAACCCCAAAACAAAACAGAAAATGCTAAAACAAAGGATTGCACATTTTCAAAAGGTAAAAATAACATCTACTCCTAACACGTGTTTTAGTTAGAGCACAGCACAAAAAAAGGATTATCTCTGCTTAATTTTCAAAATACACATCCTAAAAATTTTTTCAAATCCTAGCTGCTGAAATACAGGGTAAATAATCCCTAAGTTTGAAGGGAAAGCTTTTGGGTTGTGTAGATGTGGGATTCCTATGAATCCTGTAACCCTGTAGAGCAGAGGTGAGGGGCTGAGGATGTGTTTGAGGGGAAAAAGTGACGTGGAAATGAAGTCCAGCAGGTGGGAGGATGAAAAAAGGCGTCCAATCCTGGAAGAAAGAGGGAAAACAACCAAAAAATCTATTAAAATCAAATTACCTTTATTAAATTACAACTAAAACACATTTTTCACAGTGAGTGAAGTACTGAACTGAAGAAATTATTTAATAAAACACTGTAACCTTTAGGCCAGGGGTCACCACGGCGGTGCCTGCGGGCACCAAGGGGCCCTCAAGGACCACATGGGGTGCCCTCAACACCTTCTGAAAACAGCAACTCAGCAGTGGGCTAAGTTTGAAATTTTATTTTATTCTGTGACTCTTCTTTTTAATAATTTATAGAGCATTTCATCATAGTAATCATATAGGGCATTTTAGCATTTATAAACAATTAGAAATTAAAAGTTAACAATAAAAATGTGTTTAATTTGGATGAAGTTTAGGTGAACGCTGACCTTCTTGTTCATAGGTCAGTATTGGTAGCCCTTCCTATGATTTAATAGCCATGAAGTAGCCCTCAGCTTTGAAATGGTTGGTAAACCCCCGATTTAGGCAGTAGGGGCGCTAGATCTGTAATTTCCAGGTTTAGCTTCCCTGAAAGCAACTGGCTTCACCGTCCTGCCATAAAATAAAAGAGTTTCTCTCCATGTTTAAGATTCTGATAGCAAACCACTTACAGTTTCCTCACTTTCCTTGATGGGCCCTTGGCTGGTCTCGTACAATTCCTTTTTAAACATCAAACTTTATACTAAAATATTCTTTCAGTAATGATTTGTGGACGTTAAGATCTAAAGAGAAGCATCATCTCCTGATAAGACCCTGTAATTCAGTGAAAGGGTGGAGTCAGAGTGAAAAAATATGCACGCCCAGGAGAAGGAGGGGGTCACTCCAGTGGTTGGATGTTGGAGGGGATTCTGCTGGGATTAGCAGGGAAGTGGGCTGCCATTGTGCTGGCGTTTGACTGGGAAGGGCCAATTTAAATGGCTGCTATTGTAAAGACAAAGTCTTTACAGTTTAAATCCATCACAAGTAAAAAAAAAATATGTCTAATCAGCCAAGCGTCATACCTATCTGGTTGTCTAGCAACAGCTTTTAGCTTAGTTAGCTTAGACTTGTATTAAGAAACGCTCTAGATCACATCACTCACCCAGTGAGTTTTTAATGAGAAGGGCATTGATGCTGAACATTGACCCCAAGATTGATCTAATACTGTATATCTCACATTTAGTTAACACTTGGGTAAAAAATTACAGTTTTGTTTTAATAAACAGGAAAAAGTTATTATTTACTTTGAATAAAATAGAAAGTGAATCAAAATGCAGACAGTTTTTAGAAAAAATGCTTCTTATAATAGCTTATTTCAAAGAGTTTAAACTAAAGATTAAACTGATTGATCCAGTTGAACTTTCAGAGTTAGCAAAACTATTGTCTTCGTCTAAGCCTTCAACTTGGATGTTAGATTCAGTTCCAACCAGGTTATATAAGGAGGTATTCCCTTTGATCTCCTCCTCCATTTTAGATGTTTAATAATCTATCTCTGGTACAGGGATATGTACCTAAGGCTTTTAAGGTTGCTGGAATTAAACCTCAGCTTAAGAAACCGTCTCTTGACCCAGATGACTTGGTCAATTATAGACCTATATCCAATCTTCCTTTCTTATTTAAACTCCTTGAGAAAGTAGTTGCCAAACAAGTTTGCGATCACTTCCACCATAATGAACTTTTTGAAGAGATTCAGTCTGGCTTTAGAGCTCATCATAGCACTGAAACAGCTCTGGTGAAAGTCACTAATGATATTCTCATGGCCTCAGATAATGGACTTGTATCTGTGCTCGTCCTGTTGGATCTCAGTGCTGCATTTGATACAGTCGACCATAATATTCTTCTTTTGTCAGTCGACCATAATCTCTTTTTAAAGACTTGAATATTTTGTTGGAATTAAAGGAACAGCACTAGACTGGTTTAAATCGTATCTATCTGATCGACAAACTCACCCTGTTTACTCCCAGAAGTAGCGCAGATACCAAATAGTTTCATTCTTCAGCTGAGGGCCGAACAGTGGGTTGGCCTGGGCCAGAATGGCTATTAACCAACTGAAAAACAGAGGAGAAGACTTTAGACATAGAAACACATTCATTATCCCAGTTCAACATGTTTCTAAGGTTTTTTTTTTCAACCAGAGTTTAACAACATTATTACTGGAAGAGCAAACATGTTGTTTCTCTAGTCTAAAGCAGATCAAGCATGAGATCGGATGCTGCCGTTTTCTTAGAATTTAATCACACTAAAGAGCCACTTAGAGCAGAAGAGGACACATCTGGAACAAGCTGCATTTTAGAAAGAAAGAAAGAAAGAAAGAAAGAAAGAAATTTCTTTCTTTCTTTCAAATCAGAATGTTATTTCTGATTTGATTCAGAAATAACAAAAGCAAACTAACTTGACTGATGGTGATCAGATGTAATGGAAGACATGGAACCACTTTAACATCAGACTTAGTTACCTCAGCTGCTGATAGGCTCTTTATCCTGCTTTCACTTAATTAAGAGGATCAACCAAACAGGAGATACATAAAAACTGACCTAAAATTCCAGATAACTCATAACTGATCAATTTGTATTTTTTTCTGTGTAACTTATAGGGACACAAACTAAATAATCGCCTTCCTTAGCATTTTGCACAGGAAAAAAATGGAAATCTAGATAAGTAATTTTTTCTTTAAATAAGTGCATTTGTTATTGGATTGAGAAGGTAAAAGAGACGGCTTGCCAATGGAACAAGATAACATACATTTAAAATAAGAAAACACAATTGCATTGTCTTAATTTAAGTGCATATTATCTAATTATCTTATTTTAAGAGTAAAAATACTCATTCCATTGGCAAACTATCTCATTTACCTGCTCAAATTAGGGGTAAATACACTTAATCTAAGAATTTTTTTTACTTATTTCTATATTGTTTTTGCAGTGTTGGATGGATATCTTTTACACTTTATGAACTGGGGTTTATTCCAGAGCCAATCAGCAACTTTGATCCCATCTGACAAACTTTTAACGTCACTGATCAGCAGAGATGGGAAGTAACGAAGTACAAATACTTCGTTACTGTACTCAAGTAGATTTTTCTGATATTTTTACTTTACTTTACTACTTATTTTTATGGTGACTTTTTACTTCTACTCCTTACATTTAAAAAAATTTGGTTTGTTACTTTAGTTTTGAATCATTTCAATGGAGTTACCGTTATTATTTTTCACTTCATCAATACCAAATTCAATCTAATTGGATGGGAATCTACGTTGCATTTGACGCACCACTACAAGATGAATCGACAGATTCGGCGGTATTCATTCACGGCAAATCATTGCAGCTTGGTGGCGGTGGCGTTAGCATAGTAGCATGGACGACGAGATGATTGAAAATGAACACAACGGAGATCTAGTCCTATTGGCAGACATCCATTTAAAATGTAGGCAACGGCATGAAAAAAGTGGTTTCTACTTTTACTTTTATACTTTAAGTAAATTTACAAGCCTGTACTTTGTTACTTTTACTTGAGTAAAGAAGTTTAATCAGTACTTCCACTTTTACCAGAGTATTTTTTAACACAAGTATCTGTACTTTTACTCAAGTACGGAAAGTGAGTACTTTTGCCATCTCTGCTGATCAGTTACTATTAGCTATTTAGCTTAGAACTGAGTATTCTGACAGGATTTATAAGCCCTTAAAATAAACAAATCTAAACTGTTTGGTTATTTAAGTTGTGTTGACTCCCATTTAATATGTACTTTGTTTACTTTGCTCAGATAAGGGGTTTGGCTTTAGGTGATGGGAGACTGAATCTATTTAGGGGACTCCTGCAGATAAAATCATTTCTCCATCAGGAATTATTCCAGGAGAAATATTTTTACCACAACATGGTTAAACATTAGCCACAAACACTAGTAATCTCTGTGCTGGTCCCATGCCTGCTGCTTCCCTCTACATGCCAAGCTGGCTTGGCTGGCTAATGATTGGCTAGTCGGATCCAACAGATCATTAAACACACTGGAAACACTTTTTTCACATTACAGGGATTTTTTCCCCCCACCATCTCACAGTCCTTTTAGAGAAAACATGAAACACTTAAACAAAAAAAAGTTAAAAGCTTTTTTATAGTAAGTTAAAGTTAAGTTACATCCCATCATTTTGTCAATAGGGCAGGATTTATGGTTTTATCATCAGCTGCTGGGATATATGGTGAAAGCAGTAATTAATTAAGAATGAGGCATAAATTAATCATGGTTCCAGACTGCTTTGCTCTATGGAGGACCAACTCTGCCATATTTAAAAATAAATACAGAAATGCTCAATAAATAAATAAGCATACAATTAATTGCCCCCCAAAAAATACAATCAACAAATAAATGTAAGTAGAAATTAAATTATACAGTGAGACATAAATGTAAATAACTCTCTTAATTAGCTTCTTTATTTATTTGCCTTTTTAATATTTAACTCATTTATTTTTTTGTCCTTTTTTAATCTTCAACTTTATTTTTTAATTACTTATATTTTTATGTATTTATTTATGTCCATGTTATAATATTTTTGTCATTTTTGACCGACAGTCTGATGAAGTCAAGAAAAAGGTGAAAAGCTGATTGAAAAGTTAAAAACTTAATAAGCCTAGTTAACAATTATATTTAGGTTTATAAACTAATACATCTAAGTGCTAGTGTCAGCATTAATGCCTCTAAGGTTATGTTGGACCCAAAAAAAATTGTTTCTTTCACTCTCACTGTGTTTTTCATGAATTTCTTATAGAAGCACTTTTGTTATTTTTCTGAATATATTCGGGCAAGTTTGCTTTTCTTTTTACGTTGACATTCATTTTACTATCAAAATATCCATATTTTTTCAATGTTACAAACGTAATAATATCTTGTCCTGGATTCTAATAACACTATTGGCTTGAAATTTTAATTTTCAAAGTATTTCACTAAGTGTCGAATAAAGGGTTAAGCATTCTTCTTTGTGAAATCATTTCCAGATGTTTTAGTTCCCTGCTTCTGTATCACAGGGTTTATACAGGAATGAGGAACTCTAATTTAATGCTCTTAGAAATAATTTTAATAATAAAATAAAAGATTTTAACGACATTGTAAAGTAATTTAGAATATGGTGAAGCTCCATTTCTATGCAGGAAATGTTAATAAGTGGCTCATGTCTACTGAAAGAATGTGAAAGTTATTTTTAGGCTTTAAAAGCCTTTAAACTGTGTGTAGAAAATCACTGTAACAAACTAATACCTGCATTTTTTTTTTCTCCAAAAGATGTTCCTTTGTTGATCCTTTAAATGTATTTATGTGATTGGGACATTGCATGTTAATGGAAACACATGAATGTAAACATGCAGGATTGTAGCTAAACACTTATTTCCATCCATTGTCCTGCCGGCAGGAGTTACAGAGGGTGCGCAGATTTAAAGCAATAAAATGAACAAACCTTTATATTAAAAAATAATAATAATAAGTTTAATGCCATCAACAAGTATATTTACATATATAAATAAAACACAGCAAAATCCTTCATCATATTTACAGTCGACAGGCTGCAGCCATGTCCCGAATTCATTCGTCCATTTTCAGACATGCTTAATCCCAAGTGGGGTCGCGAGGGGTCGCCAAACCAAATATACTATACTATACTATAAAGCCAATTAATTTATGATTTAATGACTTTTAATGATATTTAATGACCCACAGATACCCTGTATCAGCTCCCTGAGTAAGTCATTAGTTCTGATGCTGCTATCAGAGCAGATGATGGCAGGAGAATCACCCTCTCCAGAACAGACTAATAGAAGATATGCAGCATCTTCCTGCAAACACAGAAGGACCTCAGCTTCCTCTAGAGTACAAACTGCTCTGTCTCTAGACGGCTTCACAGTTACGTCTTTAGTCCAGTCTGTTGTCCAAATGATCACCAAAGCATTTATAGTCATCCACCACCTTTAATAAGAACTGTTGAAATTCAAAGTTCTCCTTTGTTTTTTGTTCACAATTAAGATTAAATGGCTTTTCCATAGTGTTCCACTTGATTTATGCATATAAATTACTTTATAATAATTATACAGGGAGTTTTACAGATTATATGGATGCTGCAATGTAAGTAGGACAGGAAAGGAAGACAGAAAAAAGGAGAAAAGATGAAAGAAAGAGGAAATAAAGGGAGATAGAGGAAATCTTTCTTCACTCTTAGCTCAAACCCTTTTATTTGTTTTGACATTTCAGATTTATAAACTCACTGACACCTGCTTTCTTCGTCAAGCTACAGAGCTCCCTCTAGTGGTGAAACGTCTGATGGCCAAAAGGTTGGACGTAAAACTTGTTTTCATGATTTAACGATTTGTTTTAACTTCTTTATGCTGCTGATGCATACAGAAACACAACTAAAGATTCTTTCTGCATGCTGTGTTCTTGGGAAGAACAGCGAGGAAGTCCAGGCATGGATCATATCAGGATGGTTTGGTGTTGGAAAATGAATTTCCCAAGAATTGTATCAATCAGAGGGAGGTTCAGGTGATGAAACCATGGATGCAAGGTGGCTTTTTAAACACTGCTGGACGCCTGAATGCCTCACCTTCAGACCAGGTTCAGTCTTAAGTATGCTTTGGGATTGATTGCAAACATCAGATAGAGCAGCATAATAATCTCAATGCTGCATCAACTGTCACCATAGCAACTAAAGCAGCAAACTTGAGGCACCAGCTAAGCTTCTGGCTATCACTGTATTTATGACTCATGTTTTAAACAGGGCTTTAAATCTTTGATATCAATTAATTCATTAGAAACATCATAACATCTTAAAAGAATAACAGAATTAAGTGTTTAAAAAAAAAAAAATATATATATATACTAGGGCTGTCAAAATGAACGTGTTAACGCGAGAATATTAATTTCTGGAATTAACGTGACATTTACGCAATCCCGCCCTGTTTTACCCACAATTCAATTGTGACATGAGCGAGATGGAGGAATCAGAAGAACCCGTTGGCTAGCTGGATGGACAGTTCGAGTATAAAAAAAACAAAGAAGGGACAATAAATTAACATGTTGTGGTTTGCTCATACTGCAAGAAGGACTTTTCTTTTTACCAAAGCACTTCGAGCCTTAAATATAATCTTAAAGCCAAGCATTCATTTGTTGGGGCTTCAGCTTCAGGTGTTACGCATGGCATGCGTCAGACCACCCTCACCGAACGCAGGGCATTAAGTACTGTAACGGTCCCCTTTACATTCAGAAAATGTTAACCAGTTAGTTTGCCTTAACAACTGGCTAAAAGATGAATAAATAATAGGTAAAATGACCTCATGTAATTGTTTAAAAATCAAGTTGTTTGTTTTAAATGCAAAACGTTCCATTAAACCATCCTGTATTTCCTAAAAAAAAAAAAGCAATGGCTAAGTTGCCAAAATTGTTGAGAATTAAATTCTTTTTTTTTTTATTTTTTCCATTAATAAAAACTAAATGTAATACCCATCTTGCTTATCTTTCTGTTTTGAAAACAGTACACAGAAAATTTGTATTTTTCAATAATATTTAGGCTTGTGATTAATCGAAATTAATTCAAGACACCTTGTGATTAATTAGATTAAAAATTTAAATCGTTTGAAAGCCCTAATATATACTAAATCTCAAGGGAAAACCTTTGTGCTCGCTTGTTTCGCTTGGAGTCATTTTTGCGCCATCATCCTGAGCGTGCAGTGAGACGGATGTGCAGCGTTTAAACACACACCCCTCTGCTCAAAACTGCCGAAGGCTCAACTCTGACAAACTCTTTGATCGCTTGACAAATTTCATTGCACGTGTGACATCATCTCTGCACACGCTGCTTACTAAGCTTGATTGGCTCCTTCTCTGCGCACAACTTGTTTCACTGTGTGTAAATAAACCAAGCATCTGGCCAATCAAAGACAAACTCTTTGGCAATAATTGCACTAAAGACTCTATATTAACTAGCAGCTGTTAATCTCCTAAAGGCAATGATTTATTCAGGACTGCCATAGTTCTGTTTACAGTATCTACTGTTTACAGGCAATAATCTATCTATCTATCTGTCTGTCTGTCTGTCTGTCTGTCTGTCTGTCTGTCTGTCTGTCTGCCTGCCTGCCTGCCTGCCTGCCTGCCTGCCTGCCTGCCTGCCTGCCTGCCTGCCTGCCTACCTACCTACCTACCTACCTACCTACCTACCTACCTACCTATCTATCTATCTATCTATCTATCTATCTATCTATCTATCTATCTATCTATCTATCTATCTATCTATCTATCTATCTATCTATCTATCTATCTATCTATCTACATGTTACCATATTTAGTGGAAGGAATTCTGCTAACTCTGCTATAGAAATAGTTTTTCAAACAAGTTGCATATAATATCAGGGGTTTCTAAATAGAATTAAATCATTATAACTTTCTAAAAATCCAGTGGTTTATTAACCTAAATAACTGATTAAAAATGAGAAACGTATGTGATGCTCGTACTCGTACTCGTCGTCTCCCGCTTTATCCGGAACCGGGTCGCGGGGGCAGCAGACTAAGCAGAGACTCCCAGACTTCCCTCTCCGCAGACACCTCCTCCAGCTCTGTTGGGGGAAGCCCTAGGCGCCCCCAGGCCAGCCGAGAGACGTAGTCTCTCCAGCGTGTCCTGGGCCGTCCCCTGGGCCTCCTCCTAGTGGGACGTGCCTGGAAGACCTCCCGAGGGAGGCGTCCAGGGGGCATCCGAAGAAGATGTCCGAGCCACCTCAACTGACTCCTCTCGATGTGGAGGAGAACCGGCTCTACACTGAGCCTCTCCCGAATGACCGAGCTCCTCACCCGTATGTGATGCTGTTCTAATATAATTATTAATTCAATAACTGAGGATCAAACAGGATTTTTTTTAATTGAAAGGTTGTTTATTTTGCCGATATAGGGTTTTCGATTATAAAGCGATTAATTGCAGTTAATTAATTACAGACCCTGTAACTTACTCAATTAAATCTTCTTTGTGTCCCACCGCTAGTTTTAAATCATATATTATTATGGAAATTACTACATCAGAGCAGTGTTGTAAAATAACAGCAGGCCCACAAGAATAGACGGATGAACGTTTTTACTCACAATAAGTAGCAGCAGATGGCTGTGAGGATGAGGCTGGTGACGATCACGCTGGAAAAGAACAAAAGCTAATCAGTTTTCTGTCCAGAGTTAGTTTCATTAAACCTTTTCTGGAACAATTATGTCTAAAGTTACATCATTATCATTGAACCAGTTAATTAGATTTGGAAAAATGTAATAAGCGTGATGATAAAATGACTTCATGAAGCTAATGAGTGAAACAGTGTATTTATTTTTGTTTATGGAAACAGCTGGTGCCTTTCCTGACCTGTAGTATGATTATTTACTCAACAGCTCCACCTGGTGTTTAAGAGGAGAATTGCAGCGACTGTGTTTATCTAAATGTAACTTTAGGGCAGCGTTCCTAAATTTTTGCCTTCAAGGTTTGGTTGGTTTCCTACACATTTTAGATGTGTATCTTATTCCATCAGTGAACTGGATTTCTAATTTACCTCCTCAACATGCAGTAAGATCTTTAAAGTCCATCTAAAGATCTGAAGGATCATTAAAAAGGTGCAGGACTCCAAAGCTGAAGGAGCGTAATTAAGGAAGCCTGCTGTGGACAGTGTAAGGCTACAGCCCCCCAAAAGATACAAAAGAAACATGCTTCAGTTGGCTGCCGTCTTTTTTTTGGCAGCCTATGTAAAAAAAATATGTTTTCATTTAAGTTTCATTTTCTTGGTTTGCTCAGAAGTAAACTAACCCAAAACAATTTGAGGACAAAATGCCAACCTACTAGAAATAGCTTCACCCCTTGCATAATAGGAAACACATTGAGCAGAAGTCATGAGTTTCTAAGGAACTAAACTGATCATTAGTTATTAATCCTCCTAAAAAGTCAAAAAAAAATTTTACCCCCTAAAAGCAGAAGTGTTCATGGGTTATTGGCTGGGTATCAGCCCATTCTGACTCTGTGGTGGGGAGGGCAATATGGAAGTTTTCTTTTCTCACTTAAGTTTTATAATTAAGAAAACAAATGGCATAAATTATTTTCAAAAACTAAACAAATCAGTTTAAAACTCAGTAATGTCTAACTCTTTGACTCTAATTAGTTCCAGTGCAGTTTACCGGAAAGGTAATGCAGCTACTGTGGCATGGTACTTAATGACACCTTAGTCCCAACACTGGTTTTAAAGGAGGATAATAATAAAATTGGTTACGGTGGAATTAGACTGAATCTAACAGGAGAGCAGAAAACAGTAGGAACCATATTAACCTGCTCTAATAGGACCATAAAAACAGAGATAATTGAGTGCTGCTGCTGAATAGATCAGCACTGACCAGATCCTGATTTATACTGTAAAACATTTTTTTGTAAGCTCTAGATCTATGTTTAAGTGAAAAAAACAAACTATTTTAGTAAAGACTGATCCTTTTTCTCAGTGTTAAATATATTTTTATCAACAGCAACGTGATGAAAGCACAGCTGCACTTTAAATATAAACATTTAAATATTTGCACTGCTGACCTCGTTAAAGATAATAATGGTCATACTGGGAGTTATCTTCTCTACTTTTAAGCCACATAGGGAAGTAACACTTTTAGATTTAGATTCTTGTACATGAATGGTGCAGTTTCCCCCTTTTTTTTTTTACTAATTAAAGGAAGTAACATTTTCCGCATATTGTCATTATTTTTTTACCCTTAAATAAAAGGAGCCTTGAACTTTTAATAAATGTTGGCAAGTATGTAAAATGATATAGGTTAGACATTTTAGTACTTTGATAAACCTAATCTGAAACGTTGGCTCACGATGCTCAATGTCATGTAAGGCAATGGAGGAGTGATGATGGGGGCTGTGATTTGAAACTATGGGATCAAGTAGGTAATTATAGAAATAACTGTAACCTTTGTAGTATTGTTTGATGTTAGAATATTTTTCACTTTTTTTGGTTAATAAAGTCTATCAAATCAAATGAACCAAAGGCTCAGGAAGCCTGTTAGTGGGGAACGGGTAGAGGAGATGGGTACATACAACTACTACGAATGATTTGTTAAGTCTCTTACAAATTACTTTGCTGTTTTTTTTTTTTTTTTTTTTTTGCAGGTTTAAAAGATAATCCAAGAAGATAAATTTTGAAAATGATTTATGGAAAGAGGACGCCTCAGGCATGTAGAAAGTCGCCTAATTCTCTCATTTTTAATCCAATGTGTTACTGGGCCTCCTAAAAAAATCATATCTTTGACCAATGAAGCTGAGTGCTCCACATCTCTTCCTTCATGGTGCCCATCTATATTAAGATCCAAAATTCTGAGATTAAAGTCAGAATTCTGAGATTAAAGTCAGAATATTCAGACAAAAGTCAAAATTCTAAGATTAAAGTCAGAATTCTTAGAAAAAAAGTCAAAATTCTGAGATTAAAGTCAGAATTCTCAGAAAAAAAGTCAAAATTCTGAGATTAAAGTCAGAATTCTTAGAAAAAAAGTAAAGATTCTGAGATTAAAGTCAGAATTCTCAGAAAAAAAGTCAAAATTCTGAGATTAAAGTCAGAATTCTCAGAAAAAAAGTCAAAATTCTGAGATTAAAGTCAGAATTCTTAGAAAAAAAGTCAACATTCTGAGATTAAAGTCAGAATTCTTAGAAAAAAAGTAAAGATTCTGAGATTAAAGTCAGAATTCTCAGAAAAAAAGTCAAAATTCTGAGATTAAAGTCAGAATTCTCAGAAAAAAAGTCAAAATTCTAAGATTAAAGTCAGAATTCTTAGAAAAAAAGTAAAAATTCTGAGATTAAAGTCAGAATTCTCAGAAAAAAAGTCAAAATTCTGAGATTAAAGTCAGAATTCTTAGAAAAAAAGTCAAAATTCTGAGATTAAAGTCAGAATTCTTAGAAAAAAAGTCAAAATTCTGAGATTAAAGTCAGAATTCTTAGAAAAAAGGTAAAGATTCTGAGATTAAAGTCAGAATTCTCAGAAAAAAAGTCAAAATTCTGAGATTAAAGTCAGAATTCTTAGAAAAAAAGTCAGAATTCTGACTTTTTTCCCTTATTAAACTGAAATAATATTTAAATACAAGGGTGTAACTTTGTAATGAAAGTTGGTGGGGACACTCGGGTAGTGACTGATATATACATATATATATATAATCAATCAAGTCCACACCAGTCCGTCAGAAAGTTAAGCCTGTGTTTAAATATCAGTTAACTTTTCTTCTTTTTTTTCAGTGGCCTTAATTATCTTTCATACATGTATAAATATACAATTAAGATAAAAACAAACGCTGTATTTCTTCAGGGTTTTGATGAATTCTGATGGCCAAGATAAAACATGCCGCCCCTGAAGGATAAAGGTTTCATTAGTGATGGACTGGTTTGGCTGCTGGAGGTGAATGAATGGCAGAGCTGGGACAGAGGGGGACCAGAGCAGCTATGGATGCAGGGATGATGCGCTGATGGGGGTGGGGGGTATATAAGGCCTTTATCACGACACAACCAAAGCTCTCATTCATTTCTAAACACACATGTTAAACAGAATCACCCGATCTAAAAGAAACAAATAAAAACAAATACAGGCTCCTAAAGGTTAATGCTTAAAATGAAGGATAATGAAATAAATGATCCGGCCAGTTGGAAGAGCCTCCTACCCGCGGTTAGGTCCCTTTGGCACTAAAAATGGAGCCACGACCCCCACCAGCGCCCATAAGGTGGTGAAGCAGATCATCGGCAGGGCGAGAGAGTGAGACACCATGGCTGCAGTCAGGAGGCGCCGCACAGACGGACAAATATGATCGGTTTGTCTTCGATAAGAAGCGCATCAATGGCTTCAGTCAGCCCGTCGCTTCCACAATGTTCCCGCCCACTCTAGGTGAGGTGCTCTGTGATTGGTCCAAATCCCACAGAGCGCTGCGTCTGATTGGTGGATTCTACTGCCTGTCAATATGACAGCAGGTGGGATTGGCTGGATCAAGGGATTAATGTTTGTTATTCTAAATATTGATGATAATCCTGTAGCAGAAAAACAATCATGAAAGGTAAATGTATGCGTTGTTTATGCAAAGACAAAAACAGATAAATGTTACAGATAATTGCTTTTGTTGTAGATAATTTTGTTGTGGTTCACGGGGTGAAAATGTTTTATAATATGCATGAAAAAGGTTTATTTTGCCGGAAAGTACTTATTTAGTTCCACTGTTATTATTGCGAATTTGGATGCAATTTAAAAATGCTGATATATATATAAATATATATATATATATATATATATATATATATATATATATATATATATATATATATATATATATATATATATATATATATATATATATATATATATATATATATATATATATATATATATATATGACTGCAACATCAGGAAAAGAGAAATATCAGGGACTGAGCTGGAGAAAACCTGGAAGATCAAGGCATCAGTGGTGCCATTGGGGCCCTCGGGGAAGTGACTCCCTAACTGGAGGAGTGGTTACAGCAGATCCCTGGAAATACATCAGACATCCCGGTCCAGAAGAGTGCAGTTCTAGGGACAGCAAAGATACTGGTAGAACCCTCAAGCTCCCAGGCCTCTGGTAGAGGACCCGAGCTTGGAGTTGTTTTTTTTTTTTTTTTGTATGTTAAGAACACTGAGTTTCATACAGTAATGTGGTTTGTTCAGGATTTTGTTTTAATTGCTTTGTAATAATCCTGCAAAATTGCCATCTGTTGTATCCTAATTACTTTCTCGTCATTAGGAATGTACGAGATTAATTTTCGCGTAAGATCTCTGAGTTGACAGGTGGTCACGAGGTAAAAATATTTCCTAAAGTTCACGTGTTGCTTATAACTCAATGACGGGCCTATGTATTTATCTTTTAGACTCGCAGGTGTACACCATAGTTGTACAAATTCAATTCAATACTACCTTATTGATCCCAAAGGGAAAGTAAATATTTTATTGTTTCTTATGGTAGTCTTTTTTTTTTTTCCTCAAGTGATTTGTTTATAAAGTTGTAGACAGCAATGATCTCCATGTCTGTCGTCCAGCTGACAGGAAAAAGCTTTTGACTGAAGACACTCTACTGTTGTTCAGCGGAAGATGAGGATTGTCCACAATTTTCTTTATGTTATGAAGAATTATTCTTTATAAAATCATCTCCAGAGGTTCTAAAGGATTTCACAGATCAGAGGAAGCCTTTTAAAATAACTTTTGGCTGCTTTAAGTCAGATATAATAGTAAAAAACATGAGTAAAAATGAGCAAAGTTAAAATGAAAGTATTTTTTTCCTCCATGTTGCAAAAAAACCCACCATATATTCAATGATATATTAAATAAGGAAAACATATTCAACATTGAATATACACTCACTGGCCACTTTATTAGGTACACCTGTCCAACTGCTCGTTAACCCCTTGAACCCTACGGACCCACCGGCGGGTCCAGCTGCTACATGACCTCGTAATTTTACCAAACCCCCAGTATTGATGTAAAAAACATATTTGGCACAGTTTGGTGACATTTATGGATAAATGTGCCAAAATGGCCTCTCCGTCTAAGAAATTTCTCACTAATACCATTCTAAAATAAATATGATTCATCTGATTGAGTACACATTTTGTATATTTTTACACAACATTTAGATTTGAAAGTCTGTACTACTTTTTTGTGCTATAAATAATATTTTGGTAGTGTTTTGCAATGTTTATTTCAAAGAAAATTTTGGCGAGGTTCAAAAAATGCAAAATATTTTGTATTTTGTCCCTAATATTTCAGGCAGGGTCAAAGCTACAATGGTGCTGACACCAGAAAACCATTCTATGACATCTTACCTTTACAGACGTACCAAAAGTTTCTTCTTAAATCTAATAGCTTTGAGGCTATAATTTATTTACTTTTGTGTGTTTTTGTCAGGCAGAAATTTATTTATACCCCCTTAGGGTGTAAGAGGTTAACACTTAATTTCTAAGCAGCCAATCACATGGTGGCAACTCAGTGCATTTAGGCATGTAGACATGGCCAAGACAATCTCCTGCAGTTCAAACCGAGCATCACTATGGGGAAGAAAGGTGATTTGAGTGACTTTGAACGTGGCATGATTGTTGGTGCCAGAAGGGCTGGTCTGACTATTTCAGAAACTGGTGATCTACTGGGATTTTCACGCACAACCATCTCTAGGGTTTACAGAGAATGGTCCGAAAAAGAAAAAACATCCAGTGAGCGGCAGTTCTGTGGGCGGAAATGCCTTGTTGATGCCAGAGGTCAGAGGAGAATGGCCAGACTGGTTCGAGCTGATAGAAGGGCAACAGTGACTCAAATAACCACCTGTTACAACCAAGGTGGGCAGAAGAGCATCTCTGGACGCACAGTACATCGAACTTTGAGGCAGATGGGCTACAGCAGCAGAAGACCAAACCGGGTGCCACTCCTTTCAGCTAAGAACAGGAAACTGAGGCTACAATTTGCACAAGCTCATCAAAATTGGACAATAGAAGATTGGAAAAACGTTGCCTGGTCTGATGAGTCTCGATTTCTGCTGCGACATTCAGATGGTAGGGTCAGAATTTGGTGTCTGCAACATGAAAGCATGGATCCATCCTGCCTTGTATCAATGGTTCAGGCTGGTGGTGGTGGTGTCATGGTGTGGGGAATATTTTCTTGGCACTCTTTGGGCCCCTTGGTACCAATTGAGCATCAGTGCAACGCCACAGCCTACCTGAGTATTGTTGCTGACCATGTCCATCCCTTTATGACCACAATGTACCCAACTTCTGATGGCTACTTTCAGCAGGATAATGCGCCATGTCATAAAGCTGGAATCATCTCAGACTGGTTTCTTGAACATGACAATGAGTTCACTGTACTCAAATGGCCTCCACAGTCACCAGATCTCAATCCAATAGAGCATCTTTGGGATGTGGTGGAACGGGAGATTCGCATCATGGATGTGCAGCCGACAAATCTGCGGCAACTGTGTGATGCCATCATGTCAATATGGACCAAACTCCCTGAGGAATGCTTCCAGCACCTTGTTGAATCTATGCCACGAAGAATTGAGGCAGTTCTGAAGGCAAAAGGGGGTCCAACCCGTTACTACCATGGGGTACCAAATAAAGTGGCCGGTGAGTGTAAATTCCATTGATACAGTTTACATTCAGAGGTTGTTTACAGTTTCCACTGAACCGATGACCACTGAGGCTTCTTGCCTCTTCACCACTTCTCCATTTTCTTTTTCTTGATCTTCTAATGCTTCTTTTTTTTAGTGTTAATTTTTGGTTTCATTATATTTACCACCAATGCTCCCTGTTCTGCTTTGTCTTCTACCATAATGTGATTCGTTTTTTTTATTTTACAGTTTTTTTTAACAGTTATTTTAGCTTGCACCACAGCTCAGTTGTTTCTAAAAAAAAAAAAAAAAAAAAAGAAAACTAGTGTAAAGTGTAAAAGGTCACTTTCTAAAATTGAAAGTGAATAGAACAAAAGCAAGTCAGTCACTCAACAACTTATAAAACCAGGATGAAAAACTATAAAGTGAAAAGATTTGAGCATGTTGTTATTGTGACAAAATACTATGGAAGTGCTTCTCAATGTCATGTAAAGTCAAAACAGCGTTATATAATGCTTTATATAGCATTTTAAACACTCAAATTAAATAAAGACAGAATACGGGTTTTACTTTAGGCTGTGTATTTTTTGTTTCCAGCATTGTGCCACTGGAAAAAACAAACAAAAAAACATTTAGCACAAATATAGAATCAATCAATCATTTTGAAACTGAAAATACTGTCATACAGAGAGTGCTGCAAATCAGTCATGGACGCCGATTCTGTGTGTCTGGCCACAAATTTACATCTACATCACAGCTGATATCAGGTCTGTCAATACACCAAGGAAAGTATCTTCTTGATGCTGTATTAAACATCTGCAGGACTGTTGTGATGTCATCACAAGCTGCAACTACGCCCGTTAGCAGGGCCCTGTCATGTTTGGCTTCAAGTGCCTAACCCACATGCAGAACACTCCGAGACAGGATAAAAGTTCAAAGGTTTATTTAGAAGATGGAATACAATAAATAAACAGATCCCAAGGGGAACTCGTCTGGTCACGAGTGGATTCTGAAATGCACACAGAGTTAACAGGTCCAGGACTGGCCACGAGTGGGTTCACTGCAGAGGGGGACAGAGGAGTTAGTGGAGGTCCAGATAATTTGCAGGATGATTGATAGATAGATTAGATAGATTAGATAGATTGCAGGGCTGTACCTGTACAGGAGTTGAGCTGAGCAACTGAGCGGGGAACCTTGAGGGTCCAGAGGCTGTCGGCAGGCTGAGGGCTAGGCGGAGGCAGAGCTTGGTTTGAGTGTTGGCAGATTACCGATTCCGGTTTCTTCAGAGAGCGGGCAGGCAGGTCTTTGACAGGAATAGTTTTCCAGGGTTCTTCAGAGAACAGACAGGTAGATTACCGGCAGAGATACTCTTCTGGGTTTCAGGTTTCAGACAGGTTCAATCTAGGAAGCAGAGAGGAGAAAACAGATCAGGTTCAGGTTCTGGTTTTTAGGGAGTCAGAGATTCAGACAGGCAGGTTTGCTCAGGCTTGCTAACCGTAATTGGCAAACACTCTGTCACTGGAGAGACGTCCTCTGCCTCCTTAAATACAGATCTCCTGATGAGCAGATGAGCGACAGGGGGTTGCAGTCAGCTCCGGCTCCAGGAGATCTAGTACGCCCTCTGGTGGAGAAAGTGGACAGACCTCCAGATCCCAACAGGCCCGTTTCGAGATGTAGACTCAGATGATATACCTTTCAACTTTAGGGAGAGAAAAACTCATCAACTGGATTTAGGAATGGACAGTAGGGAAGGAGATACTGTCCAAGCATCCT